GTATTATATATAATTATTATATATGTATATATACATAAAATATATAAATTAATAATAATAATTGCATATAATAAATACAATTACAACATACTCATACTACCATCTCCTATGTATATAGATGAATTAATACCCGTACCAATAACTAACCATAACATAATGTACTATATCTCATGTGATGTTGTGTGTGATATTGTGTGTGTGTACTCCTGTCGTGTGTCATCCACGGATGTGATATGTGTAGTGGTGATCACAAATTGCTGATGTGGTCCGTGGCTGCTGTGTGTGCTTGTGTGTGCTGTTCGTGCTCCCCCTGACCACCTGTGATGTACCTTACCCGCGTGAAGAAAAGAAAGAAAGAAGATACAAAAGTAGAAGAAATAATAAACCTAGCAAACGAAATAGACAAGAGGGGAGAAAAAGAACTAAAAAGCTAAATAAAAAAAGAAACCATAAGAGAGAGAAACGGCAAGACGATGATCGAAACCTCGCAATGCATGAACTATTGAAACTGCCATTCAGGACAGCTCTACCCCCACCTCGACCACCCTCCCCCTCCCACACCCCCACACGGGCGACGGCTTCTTGAATCGGTTAATACGGGAAGGATCCTGTATCGCAGACCCCCCGTGTCTTGAGAGCTGGTTATTGGCCAGTGTCCACAGATAATTTACCAGCCCATCTTTTCGACCGATGGATTCGCGCTGGTCCTGACCCGGCATCTTCACTGCCCGTCCAGGCTATACGGACAATCCAGTTCACACATTGGGTTTAGTTGGATAGAGATTTGAGCACAATATTTAGCAGCTGTTCTTTCAGCGTATGGACACACTGCTAACACATCTACCACGCCATATCAAAGCACGAAACCGGCCCCACGCACGCAAGCACCACATAAACACGCACGCCACGCACGCAAGCACACATTTAAACACGCACAGCAGGTACACCACAATCTAAACACGAACGCACGCACGCAAGCACACATAAACACGCACGCACACACACACACAACACATAAACACGAAACGCACGCACCAAAGCACCCATAAAACACGCACGACACACACACACACACATAACACGACGCCACGCACGCAAGCACACATAAACCGCACGCACACACACACACACACAATAAACACGCAACGCACGCACGCAAGCACACATAACACCAGCACGCACACCACACCTAACACATAAACACGAACGCACGCATTAGCATGATACACACACACAAACACGACGCACGCATGCATGCCACACACCGCCTAACACTCACACCCTACCGCTCATGCAAAAACACAAGAAAAACAGCATCAAACAAAATTCTCTAAGACACGATAACACGCCACCACACAACCACTAAACACACACACAACACAAAACGACAGCCGCTACGAACAACCCTCCCAAAGCACAAAACAACTGCAGCCTCTAAATCATACGAATACACAACAAGATCCCAGCAACAATCACAACTAGCAATGGAATAAAACAAACCAAACCCAAACCTCAAAAAACCACTCATATCCCGTAAAAAACCCCAACTACAAAACACACAAAACCACACATCCGAAAAACAAACAAACACTACAAACACAAAACCAACCAACACAACCCATACCCCACCCAACCTACACAACACTCTCACACAATCAACAACACTGACCGACTCCCACCACAACCAACGAACTAATAACAAAACCCCAAAAACAAAAAAAATACACACCACAAACATAAACACCCATCCAAAAACACCACCACTACGGAACAAAAAAACACGACATCACTCCGCACAAAAAAACAACCAAAAACTACAAACCAAAACCAAATACACTATAAACAATCTCAACACCCTCACAAATAAATGAGATAAAACATACAAAATACTATTAATAAAATAAATGACAAAAACAATAATAATAAATAAAATAAAAAAAACACACAACACACACAACACACAACACACACACCATATATAACAACACACATTACACAAAAGAAATCACCAAAAAAGAGACTACCAAATGAGACACCCACCACAAACAACACACACACACACATAAAAGAATAATTAAATATACAAAATACAAACTCCGAATACTAACCAAATAGTTGCTTAAAATAAAACAAAGAAAACAAATCTTTCTTAAGTACACTGATACCATCTACTTACAATTTTTTCTCTCGCCCCCAAACTTTTTTTAAAAAGGACAAAAGAACCAGATTAGAAAGAAAAACAATTAAAAAGAAAAAAATAATAATCATCTCACCCATTTACTATCCGTGACTCATCTTTCCAAACTCATACGCGAGAAAGGGGGAAAAATATATAATAATCTGCTTAATGAAAATGAGGGGGAGGGGGGGGGGTGAAAGGGTGAAGGGGGGGGGGGGGGGGGGAGGGTGAGAAGGACATGGAGTGTTGAAGTATAAACCCTAAACCCTTGAATCTTCTCAGCTCGAAATCCCACTTACGTTTCCTCCACAATTAAGACAAGATTCAACGGAAAAGGAAAAAAAATGTGTTTAAATAATAATAATGTAAGACACCAATCCCTTTGATAAATGGTGGGTTCCCTTTAATTTTTTTTTCTTTCTTTGTTTCTTCTTTAACTGACGCGTAATTAAACTCTCTTTTCGATGGGTATTATAAGCGGTATTATAAATCTCTCTCTCTCTCTCTCTCTCTCTCTCTCTCTCTCTCTCTCTCTCTCTCTCTCTCTCTCTCTCTCTCCTCTCTCTCTCTCTCTCTCTCTCTCTCTCTCCTCTCTCTCTCTCTCTCTCTCTCTTCTCTCTCTCTCTCTCTCTCTCTCTCTCTCTCTCTCTCTCTCTCTCTCTCTCTCTCTCTCTCTCTCTCCTTTGAGGCAATGGATAAAAGCGATCTCTAAGTGTTTTTTTTTTTGTGTGTTTGGTTGTTACTATTATGGTTGTTGTTATTGCTGTGTTTGTTATTATGTTTATTTTGGTCGTGTTTATTTTCGATAGGATGTAGTTGTTGAAATTTCTGTCGTTGTTGTTATTACTATAGTTGTTATCATTGCTCCTTTTATTGTCATTATTCTTGTTATATAATTCATATTATTGCCCTTTCTGTTATTGTTATTCTTATAGCGCTATCCTTTTGTTATTATTATCATCATTGTTATCATTAATATCATAACTTGTTATTTTATCATTTTTGCTATCGTTGTTGTTCCTGTTATTATCATTATCCTTAGCATGATTATAAGTGTTCTTCTCCGTATTTTTCTTATGAAAAATACATACATTATCATTGCAACTAATAGTTAATAAAGATAATAATAATGATAATGATGACGATAATACTACTGCTAATGATAATGATATTGGTGATGATAATGCTACTGCTAATGATAAAGATAATGATTACGACAATATTATTACTAATGATGATAATGATGATCATAATAATACTGATAATAATATCAATGATAATAATGAATATAATGATACTACTAATAATAATAATGATGCTGATGATAATAACAATAACAACCCCCCCAACAAAACAACAGTAACAAAACAAAAATCTCGATAATGATAACACAAAACGCCATTAGGAGATAAGGGCGCGATAACGACGCCAGACGAGAGACACGCCGCCGCCCTCGCCGCCGGCCCTCGCCGCCCCTCGCCGCCCCTCGCCGCCCCTCGCCGCCCCCCGCGCCGCAGCAAGAGAGAGATATCAGGGCGCGAAGTCCTTCCTTACAAAGCCTCCTGTCTCGCGTCCTGAGCGTTGACTGAAATCCCCCGATGCCAGATATGAACGGCCGGCGAATTTATCGGATCTCATTAAAAAGCTCGGACAGTTCAGAAAAGTCTCGATTTTTATCTCCGGGATCGGGCATTTGTCTCCCCTTGGAGCGGGATCGAGGTCGGACCTTGAGGGGGCGAGGCAGCGAGGCTCGCTCGCCAGAAAAGAGAAATATATGTATATTATATATAATATATATAATATATATATATATATATATATATATATATGTGTGTGTGTGTGTGTGTGTGTGTGTGTGTGTGTGTGTGTGTGTGTTGTGTGTGTGTGTGTGTTGTGTGTGTGTGTGTGTGTGTGTGTGTGTGTTTTATATAGATGGATAGATAGATAGATAAAGATATAGATAGATAGATATACATATACATATACATATACATACATACATATAATATATATATTATATATATATATATATATATATATATATGCATATATATATATATATATATATATATATATATATATTATATATATATATATTATATTATATCATAATGATGTGATACTGATAATTATAATGATGATGATATTGATTAGCATTGATATCATAGGGTTAGCAGTAATAGTAATAATGATAATGAGGATGATAATAACGCTACTAATAGTAATACTAGCACTAATACTTATGTTGGTGATGATAATCATAATGATGGCAATCATAGCAACTATAATGATAATAATTATTGTTATAATATTGACTACAGTAATAGTTACAGCACTAATGATAATGAGGATTATGATAATGATAATGGTAAAAGTAATCATTATAATTATCATAATTATAACAATAACAGTGATGATGATGCTAATCGTACAAATAACAGTCGTAACATTTTCTCTCTCTCTCTCTCTCTCTCTCTCTCTCTCTCTCTCTCTCTCTCTCTCTCTCTCCTCTCTCTCTCTCTCTCTCTCTCTCTCTCTCTCTCTCTCCGTCTCTTCTCATCTCTCCCTCGCCCCATTCTTCTCTCTCTCTCTATCTATCTATCTATCTATTCATCTATCCATGTATCTATCTATCTATCAATATCGATATATCAATATATTTATGTATCTGTATATTATCTATATAATGTGACGGTCACACGCAATGCACGCCGACTGTTCCTCGCGTCCTCCTCCTGGAATCGCCGCGTCGGGAGGAGAGAGGCGAGNCCCCTCTCTATATCTCACAGATTTTATCTTAAACAGATTTCATTTTCCTCTACATCCCTATTTCTCACAGTACACCATTGTTTCTATTTTCTACACCCCTCTCTATATCTTTAACATACCTCATTGTATCTCAATATCTTCCATTATGTATCTGCACCTTACTAAGAGAATGTGAAAGTATGCAACTTGGCACCACTGTAAAAATGGATATTTTTACGTGATTATTTTTCATTTACTTTTCTATTTTTTGATACTATATATTAGTGAAAACTATGCACAGGTATCAATTCCTGTGGTGTGAAAGATGACATGATTGACATGGTTTGATGATAAATTGATGGGCTTAGAAATGCATTAGAGATTTTAAGTCATGAGTAAAGATAGTGTGGCTTTTTATCAAAAGATGCTGTGAAATGGGGTTAATTTTTGACATCTTTCTCCAAAAACTTGACACCGAATTACCCAAGGGATTAGTTATTTTAAAGATTGATAGCATCACACAAATAATTTTTATTTCTGTTTCAGGTGCATCCCGATTGGATTGGTGATATCAAACAGTCTTTTACTCTTCTGTTCTTCTATAACCATTTGGAGTTCAGTGTTTGCCCTCAGTTCACCCATAGTATGGTGCCTTTTGCAAGATTT